GTTGATGTGAAAAATATTTGGTTTTCATATCTGTTAACTTTTTCGACGGTTGTTCTAAACGGGGAAGGCATATATAAATAAATCACACGCCAGTTGCTGATTCTTAGCCTCAATACCCATTCCACTGGAAGCAGTACTACGTAGAAAGACACACTACCTACTAGCTAGTGTAATGGTTTGAAACACTGGATCCTGCACGGCGAAATTTTAATGTGCCACAATTGAACTTTTAATCGAACATTCGGACACAAAATCAGCAACTATAATACTCTGCATAATAGGCTTCTACAAGAGTATTGTTCTTTCACATTTATTATGTTACTGTTATCGAAAAAGTTAACAGATATGAAAACCAAATATTTTTCACATCAACACACACAGTAAAAGCGAAACCTTGCAATTGTTTATTTTCTTCTTCGTTGTTCCGACTTCGTACTTGGTTGATTTTATTTACAATTCCTATATAACAGAAAATATAGACAGATTCATACATAAAGAGAATGAGAAAGAAAAACACAACATGATAAATTTTTCTGCCTTCTTTCTGAACAGTAGTTTCTGTCTCGAGACACATATCTGTTTTCAGTCATTTCTAATTTTAGACATTTAGATACAAAATCAAATTAAAGAGAAAGTTGTAAATGACATATCTTTCATTGTCTGCTTCAATAAACTAATAATGGCTTCCGAAAGAATAATAGATCAAAATAGAAGTTTAAACAAAAACAGAAAGTTAAAATACAATAAAACTTGTCTTTTTAATACTTTTTACTCTCACGATTCGCAACATAGATCTTCACTGTCTCAAAGGTGGTAGCGTTTCCCTTTTTTCATTCGATCACTTCTTCAGTAACTATATAAAGGCCAAGAACGGAAATTTCGCAGGTCGACAGAAACAGTTTTCGACATCGTCGAATTTCGAGTGAAAAATCTGTCGAAAACTTTTCGCTCGAAGTTCAACACTGTCGAAAGCCAGTCGTATTTCCATTGAAACATTTCAAAAAGACATAAAAGGGTAAGGACATAAAAGCGTAGGATGGATGGGCATTAGACTGAGTCACGAGACCACGTTCAATGTCCAGCCACTAAGCCCCGGAGACTATTGATGGGTTTTTTCCCCAGAGACATAGTGAAATGGTGATGTAAAGACGTAGGGATTGTCTACGCCTCTGCGCGTTTACGCTTTTGCTTCACTAGTAGAGGAGTGAAGCGAAAAATCTGTCGAATTTCTAGCCTGTTTGAAATTTTTCGCTCGAAATCCGAGTGTCGAAAATTGACTATCGAAAAGTAGAACTGTCGAACAGCGACACATTTCCAAGAACTAAGAATACATCACCTATAAAAAAAGCAATAAAAGTAAACAAGATTCAGATTTTACTTTCACAAGACAGGAACCTTTGGACAATTCTCGCTTAACTTTTTTGATAAAAATCCGGAACAGGATAAAACTGATCTTTAATCCAGCTGGGAATAGTGAGAGACACTTAAACATACAACGTGGCTTATAAAACATAAGTAATGTTAGAATACTTTAGAAATTGACGAAGTCATTCCTGTGAGAAACAGCATGTTAGATCATATACATCCTCTCATGAATTATCTTGTGTAGTTATCATGAATTATCTTGTGTAGTTAATAATGATAGGTCATCATGATCTGTACAACGATCGTTCCAATTCATTTCGTCATTCACAATTTGTGTATTTTCATCACGAGCTGTTGCTGATGTTGTACTCTGCGAAAAATAAATGCAGATTAAGGGTGTTACAGAGTATAGGTCTTGTTCACTGATAATTTACTCGTCGGTATAATGTCAGCTGAGGCGATGATAACCGATATATTTTCTGTACTCTGCAAAACCTACGAAAGCACAAGAAAGATCAATATCATATCGAAGAGAGACAAAGGCTTAGTTTCTTCAATAAAAACAGACTGTTTTGAGTACTTAATTCTTCATCGTAACTTTGCTGAATTAGATCTAATGAAAACAAAGCTATATCGACGATCACTCACTTGTTGTACTGTTTATGAACCGGTTGCTTTTTAATCAAAACTAGTTTATGTTCAACAGGCAAAAGCATAAAATTCTCCATTATAGAATTCGATTGAAGCTCATCATTCCAATAAAGAAGTAAATGAACCGTTCGAAGTCACTAGACATTATAGTCTTGATGATTCGAGAAAATCGTTTGACTATCTGCTTATATCAAAGTCAACTTTTAGAAGAAGTTGATAGAGAAGTCGATGATTTAACAAGAAAAAGTGGTTTTAAGAATTACGAAGAATTAAAACGGAACCACAACGCACAAGTACACATAAAAAGATTGTTTAAAATTCTTGTCTTAAACAAAACTGCGTACAATTAACAGTAGAGTACTGTTTTAAAAAGTACCGGATTGTACACTTGTTGCAGCACACTGATTTATAGCTGTAATTAAGAATGTATCGCTACTGTAAATTTGCACTGCGCTTGGCAGATAATATGTGGCATCGATTGAGTAAGTACCAGGCACTAGCGTTTGGCCCGAGTTTAATGAAAACGTGTACACAATCTGATTTCCATTGTCGACATGAGTATTGCTCCATGTACCAGGAAAATTTGTATATTGGCTATTGAAGGTAGCGCCTACCGTTTTTTGAACAGTTATCACCACTGTTAAGGCAGTTAGTGTTGCATTGTTAACAAAAGTTAGATGATCGCCACAGTAGTTTGGATTACAGCCTGTGCTAATGGATGGTGTAGCAAGAAAGTTGACCGTTGAACCAGAGACGATCTTAAAATTTTCAGATAAAACATGACAGTGAATCAAGTCTTTAATATATATGGCAAGAAACGCTGCGAAAATGTCGATCATCATTAGTCTGTAAGATCATACTACTATATCACACAGACGTTAGTAGTAAATTCTTTATGATTTAAAAGTGTGCTACGTACTGAATTCGCTGAAGTGGTGGTTGTACCACTAGAATCAGATGATACTGATAGTACTGCACCACTACCGTAAACTAAAACAATGAGACAAACTGTCAGTATAAAGTTGAGCACGCGAAGCTGCAATGTGCACTGGAAGTTCAGATTCTACTTCTCTTCCAAAGACATTAGTGCGAAAAGTGGTAACCTCGTTTCAACCATACGGTAAGAATGGGGACTAAGATTGCAAGACAAATAAATTGACCAATCATAAATCCTAAACACATATTTCTAAATCTCTGGGATCTAAATAGAGTTGGAGTATTACTATGATTGTAATACGATGACATGAGTATTAATCACTTGAAAAATGGCGTACTGCGCTTTCTATGCAAACTCTCAGGGCTATCCTTGAACATTGAGGACCATTCGTCGACCTTCACGGGTTTCCTTTCGCCAATGTATGATACATAGGTCTCATTTGGCCGGCGTTTTGAATATTTTGGATAATTTGCATTCAGAAGTCGCTGTCTTGAGCGTTTGTTGAAATGAGCCGATTCTAGTATCTGCAGACAGCGATTGAACTAGGATAAATAAACCATTCAGATCACTACTTACTGTCGGATTTATCTTTGACATAGCGTCCGCTGAATATCTAACACAAAAATGATCGATTATTCTGTTATTTCAAAAAAGATGTTTTTATATGCACTTGTAGGACTGCTAACAGCATATTTTATCGTTTGATGACTAACGAATGAAGAAAAAATAAATGTCTTAAAATAAACGAGTCTTAACTTTCATACTTTTGGAGTTAAGTACAAAACGAATGCAAGCTATTCTTTCGACATGGAAAGAAAAAAGTTTCATATACAGGAAACAAACGTGGCGTAAAATCATGATATATCATCTCACTCGTACAACAAGATCTGTTGTTTAGCATGAATTCTAAAACGAGATCAGAAAGGATGGTTTGGGTTCATAAGGTGCTAAATCTTTTCTTCTGTATATGTCACGGGAATGTGATAAGAAATTTACTGCGAATGCTAGAATCGCTGACACTCTATTGCCCTTGAGGCGAGACTAGGTTCTATATCAAAAGAACAAAAATTAATGAGTCGTTTTGGTTTAGTTCAGGGATCCAGGTTTTGGAAAACAACAAATTTTATCGTTTCATAAATGTTTGCCTAACTTTAACACTAGTATTTACCTGTGCATTTAATAAAAAAATTCTAAAAAAAATCTACGAATCTTTGTATTTCTTTGTTGTTGTAAATTCTGCTATTGTTAAATTACACCTGTGGGAAGTTCCACCTGACATATCTGCTGTTTTATTCATTTTACATTATATTTGTGTTTCTTCATTATATAATGTTATATGATAAGTTATACTACCATTATCGATAGCAAATTTAATTTAAAAGTAAGATAACTGGATTTCATTTCTAGAGGAGCCTAATATCAATGATATAACGCGAATTATTACAGTTGGCGGCAGCTGTGTACAGAAAAAGTTTTTCCGACGGTGGTATCGCTTAACCCCAAAAAAATTCTTCTCTGCCCACAACGGCAGTGGCGCATGACAAAATCATCGGTGCTCGTCGTTTCATCGGCGTACACGCTTGCCTCAATCCCTAGGCGCTATTCCACTTTGATGTTTTTCACATTCTTTTGTATGGTTAATTTTCACCTGTTTCGAAAAGTACTTCGGGAAAAGTTTTTGCTTGTGAAAATATGCTTCCACGCCTTCTCTTTCGCATGGTGAAAGCCGGAACTCTCTAGCTACTTTTATCAACAGTTATTCAAGAAACATCGGAGTTCATTATTCATCGAAACAGATAGTAGATAGGTTTAAAAGATTTCACGCCCGCATTTTAGAGGGCTGGTTCGAGACATCTATGTTCATTACCCTGACACAGCTAGGAAGCTTTTCAACCATGAGTTTTGAGAGCGAAATTTTGAAAATACTAGAAGAGGCTTAAATTTCGAAAAATCATCCACTAAAAACAATATCAAAAATTTCTTTCTGATTCATTCTGAAACTTCCAAATATACTTTTTCTGATTCAGCGTACGAAACTGACTCTAGAAATGCTGTTAGAATCCGATCCTGTAGAATATTGTCAATTTAAAAATGAAGAACCAAGGACACGTTAAAGTGCGCTGACAGATTTTAAACCTATCTAGTTTTTGTTGGTAATGGATGGAAACCTTGCTTTACACCACATTCGACTTGCCTTTACAGGGGTAACAATAGTATAAAGTCCCTTTTCTGAAAGTCCTTCCCATTGCTGAAAAATCGATTTTACCTTAATCAGAGACGAAAAGGAATTCTCAATTTTCTCTGTCAGAACTTACCTTTTTATGCAATAAAAATATTATATTCGAAATCAAATGGCGGCTTCAACCACTATCACAAAAAGCTAGATAGCTTTTAGAAAACTGCATGTCCACACGTGAGAAGGCTGGTTTGGGACATTCATACTCGCCAGACTTTCAACTTCGAAATTGATCAGACACTATTTTTCTATTCAGTTTTTAATACTGAGTCCGGAACAAAGTTGTTTGAAGGCTTCAAATCATCTAGAGCCGAGATATTATAAATGTTTTGAATTTGAAGAATTTTTATAATTTAAGTATTTTAGACATGAGAAAAATATTTTGAAAAATTCAAAAATGCATTTTCTCAATCGGCTCTATGAGCTCTATCTAACGATATATAATAAATTAAGAAAGGAGTTTTCCATTATGCGAACCTTATATTTGCCACTATTAGAATCTTCAAAAAGTGCACTTTCATTTTTTCACCTGATGTCCACGTGATTGCTCACTGTGGATGCGTCATCCATCAAGCAAAAACTCGAAAGTGAGATTTTTCCATGTTCAACCATGAAATGTTAAACTTCACCATTAGAACTATTTATCGTCATCGCAAATATTTAGACTAAATAAAAAATGTTTACGAAAGAAACTATATGTGTTCTAGAATTATTTTCTTAATGTTCTTCTTGTTTTCGTGTACTTACGTTGTGATGAAAGAGAAAAAGAAAAGTTTCAGAAGTTACCAACACAACATAAGGAGAAAGTAGTCTCTAAGCAAAGCGTGATGACATTTAAACCCTGGAGAAAGGCAGTCCGAACAAAAGTCAAATCTCATAACAATCATCACTTTTATTCGACTGTGGTTCGTGTAATGATGGTGATAGTGTTAGATATGTAAAAGAAACAGGTGTAGCTCTAAATTGTGATTTTACTGAAATTAAATTCTGATCAGGTCATTTCTGTAGCTCTGAGCTGACATTTAACATTCAGTTGTACTATCACTACCGCTACGACAATTTTTTCCAAAAAATTTCTTTGGCGAGGACCGGCATTTCTAGAGGAATATCAGGGGTAGATATTTGTCTTTTACCAGGCGACAGTGGTCGATTTCTCGATGGGAGAGACGGTGATGGCTGTGGTGGAGATTACCTTGTTCCCATAGCGTCTCGTATTCTGAATCTCTGTGCCACTTCACTCATTACTTGGTCGTCCTTGAATTCCTCATTATCTTCCTCGTCAATTTCTTGTACAGCTCCTAGTTTTCCTCGAATGTTCTTGAGACGTGAGAAAAATGATCTGATCTGGCCGGTTTTCAAGAACTCAGCCGATGAGAATAGAAACTTTCCATCTGACCGTTTTTTCTGCTGCATTTCAGCAGCCACTTCTTCTGGTTTCCAGCGGATTTTCTCTTTTAAACGTTGATCGAATTTGTCGGTTAGATAACGAATTTGAACGGGAGCCAGTTTGGAATGATACATCTGCATCGCATAATCTGGCATTGAATGCCGTTCTGGTCGTCGCTGATGTTTTCCATTCGCAATGTGATTGATTAGCTTTCCATTTCTGGCGAATGCTGCAGTGCATCCTTCTTCTGGACATTCATACAATTTGTTAGGAGACACATCTTCCCCAACTTCAGTTATATCAGCGGTAGTAACCGAGAACATCGCCTTTGCGGATTCCTTTCATCGAGCCTGGAAAGTTAATTCCATGGAAAGATTTGAAATGTCCCAATATACTCGATGAGCTGGTCTTTCGGACTACCAATACACCATCACACATCTGGGTTTATGATGCAAAAAGTGAAACCAAAAAGGAATCCGCAAAGGCGATGTCCTCGGTTACTACCGCTGACATAACTGAAGTTGGGGAACCTTTCTTTGCAAAGTTATAGAATTTACAAGAAAAGCCCTAAATGTTAATTGTCAGCTCAGAGCTACAGAAATAAGAAAAATTCAATTTAGGACTTTTATTGTAAATTCTATAACTTTGTAAACAACGGTCGTGTACAGTTGAGAGACGTCTCATTTTAATCAGAAATTTGCGCTTTAAACTTCCTGTATAGTTACGTGCATGACTCATCATCCCATAGTCACTAATCAAAGAAATCAGTTTCTCGCTTGACCGAAAGAGAGAATGTAATGTCCTATGATAAGATTACGTAGGATTTCATAGGATCCTAAAACGATCTCTTGTGTTTCGTAGGATTCCATACGATGCGGGTTACTCATTCGGTCTGCATACAGTCAGACGCTTTAATTGACGTAAATAAAAATTCATATGTTAACTTATCTTATCAATTCTTTTAAACTAATTATATAACAGGTGTTCCAGAATAAATCGGTCACTTAGTATATTGCTCATACCTTAATTGGATTTTATCCCCTAAACTTTGTTGTTTTCCTAAAAGATGTATCGTAAAATTCTCTACAAAAAATATATTAAACATTTTTCTATATATCGTAAAGAGAAAAGAATATTGAAGAAATACTGCGAAGCTTCAATCTCGATTACTTTGCAACTCAAAAAACAATTTTTTCAATTTTAGTCCTGCATACTTTGTGAAACAAAAAACAAGAAGATGGCCATTTGATAGCCCTTGAAAAGCTCTATCAAGTAACTATATTTAAAACGTTTCGTAATCATAATCGGTTGTGGAAGAATTTTATTTCTTTTATCGACTGTCGTCGACATCAGCATTTACTCAACTGTGGTTTTGGTGTAGTTAGAAAAACGTTTATAACTCGATCAAAATCAAACACCTTTAGATAAAATTTTCTTTATCTTAAAGTAAAATAATTCTTCTGTTATATCCGCACGGAGAAAGCTCAATATTTTCCGTTGTTTTCCTGTGTCACGACGAAAAAGACAAAATTTGCCCTTTTTTTTGTTAGATTTTGGTACAATCATCTTTTGTGCCAGAAAAACACGTTTAAGCCGAAGCTATGATAGACGAAAAGAAAGACGACCCTTCAGAGTACCAGAACTTATGTTCATGATTCCACCTTTATGCATGACACCATGCTCAAATATTTTTTTTCATTGTTTCTTGAATTGCAAAGTAATCGAGATCGAAGCTTCGCAGTATTTGTTTTATATTCTTTCATCTTTACGATATATAGAAAAATATTTAATATATTTTTTGTAGAGAATTTTACGGCACATCTTTTAAGAAAACAAGAAAGCTTAGGGGATACAATTCAACTAAGATATGAGCAAATTACTAAGTGACCAATTTATTCTGGAACACCCGTTAATCTGTCTTACCGAAATCTTATCAGAATCTTATAAGATTCTTATATTCCTTCTTATAAGAATTTTATCAATAAATTACACATTTCCATCGACTGCCTTATATAAGATTCTTATAGAATTGCCGTAGGTCCGATCGCCTAGCGTAGCCCTGTTTCAAAGGATAAAACGACTTATTTTTAATATCCTTTTGTAGAAAATAGTCAACTGTACAACATGTGCATTATGATCGGAGATAAAGAGATTATAAAAGCTAAAAAGTAAGATTTTATGAAGAATTTCCGGTTGAATTCTTAAGTACAAAACGAAAAACATTAAATTTTCTCTTATTATATCAACGAACAAAAAGGATTATGAATGTAGAAAAGAATCAATTAGCTAACTTAGAACATTTTTGTATCAATTAAAAGAAAAGAATGAGCTCATTCGAAGAAAACTATCTCAGAAATATTCAAATCTACATTCAATATTTTCTCCAGTACTGAAGAAAACATTAAAAAAACAGAACATTTCTTTTCTGCATGCTACAAAAGAATTCTGTACAGAGTAGAAGAATGGTAAAAAATATGAAGTAATTTAAATTTTTTTCAAGCATCAGATTCTCTGTAAATAAAAAAACATTGAAAAAACAGAACATTTCTTTTCTGCATGCTGCAAAAGAATTCTGTACAGAGTAGAAGAATGGTAAAAAATATGAAATAATTTAAATTTTTTTCAAGCATCAGGTTCCCTGTAAATAAAAAAATATAAAAAGTCAAAAAACACTTTATATCTCTCCATGCCAACATGATACAATAAGGCACGTTTTTTTTAGAAAATACTTTTCATTATTAGAGAATTAAAATCGACGGTGTGCCCAATTCATTCCAATTCTTCGTTGCCGGTGATATCAGAAGATCAAGATATGCAGACTGATGATTTGAAAATGCGTTTGTTAAAATTAAAAGACGATGAATATTTCAAAATTCCAGGTGAATTAGAGCCGCTTATCAATAATACAGATATTAACAACGATGAAAAAATTGAACAGTTATACAACAAGTTACTACTACACTGTCAAATACTACGACAAAGTGATCTACGACGATTACTCGATTTGATATATACGATCTTGAATAAGGTTTTGAATATTGTTCAAAGGCATCGGGAAAATGTAATGAAATACACTTTCACGCTGAGTACCTTCATGCAGTCTCTCCTCGAAATAGTAGAATTCGAACTATATTCTAATGAGTTATTATTTAACCGTGAAACATTCATCACTTATCTGGAACTATTTAACTCAAGCCTTATGATTGAATATTTAAAAGATCAATTAGACAACGAACAGCTAGTGGAATTATGTGGTAAAGTGATATGGATCATCATATTGATAACTACAGAAGCATCGAGACTCTCATCACTCGAGAAGAATGACCTTAAAAACTCAACAGTTCTATTCGAAAGTATAATGAACCACATCACTACTCATATCGGAAAGGAAAATGCCAGTTTTCAAACACAATCACTTAATGTAACATCTCTTGAATTAATTACCAAAGTAAAAGAATACGAAACAAACAAACTTCTAGGCCTGCTTTGGAATCTCGTTGATAAAACCGTTCTGATACCGTTTTTTGTTGATATTGGATATCCGAAAGCCTTTTTACAATGGATGGCAATGTCTACGTCAAAAAGGAAGTATACTCGTTCACTCATGCCAAGCGTGTACAATATCGCTCGGCATTATCAAGGTGCTCAGGCACTTAGAGATCAGAAAGCGGGCGATCACTTAGCTATGTATAAAAAGCAAGTAATCGAAAAATATGGAAACAAAATTGACGCAACAGTAACAGCGAAAATAAATTTGTATCAATCAATGACTACTGCTTTAATGTTGGAACCGGAAGAAATAAAAAAGGATGAAAAGACCACGAATAATATTCTTGATACAATACTCGATTTAACAATAGAAGCATCCCAATCAGCAACGCTAAGAACAAACACTCTCTTACATATATCGGAATTGCTTGTCGTCTTAACTAAGATATTCGTGAATGACGATGTGGTTGATTACATTCTGAAATACGCTCAAGTAAAAAATCACATTCTATCACAGTCGAGAGTACAATTTTTCTGTGATCTGTTAATTCGTACTAAAATCGATAATCAAAACAACAGCTTATTACAACTTACATGTATTACATTATTTAACATTCTGTGGAGCATTTCTTTCAATGATAAATATCAAACAGAAATGAAGCAGAATGAGCTATTTGTAAGTGCGATAAAAACGACTGCTGAGAATGAAAATAATGACGAGTTATTTGCGCAAAACAGCTTTCAGAAACATTTGTCAAGCATAAAAAAAGCAGCTGACGGAATACTATTTAATTTAAACCTCGAAACCGTCTCAAAATTACCGACAACACATTCTACAAATGCTAATCCCTCTATTTTTATTAGTTACTCACATGGCGATAAAGTATTTTGTAAAAACTTAATCGATGTTTTACAACCGTCGTCAAAACAAACGCATTTCTGGGTCGATTTTCTTAATATTAACAGTGCAGTAGTACACTCTGATGATCTGTGGGAACAGATTGCTGAGGCTATCGAAAAAGCAGATGCCATTATTTTGATTATATCGAAAAACTACTACGACAGTAAATCGTGTCGGCAAGAACTCTCATATGCCAAAGACATGCAGAAAAAGCGAATAATACCGATATATATGCAAAAAGAGTACAAGCCAACGGGATGGTTAGGCATTCGAATAGCCGGCTTAGCCTACATCGATTTTAGTAAAAAAGCGTTTGACATCGCAGTTAAAGAACTGAGTGAAATACTAAACAAATCAACGGAGATCATCCCAAAACTACAGCAAGCCTTAACATTAGTAGATAGTGATCCGAAGCATACAACGTCAATTGATTCGAATAGTTCGATAGCATTAGAAAAGCCTACAACTACCTGGACATTGGACGATATCAATTTATGGTTCGAGAAGAATCGTATCAGTACTGAACTAAGAATGTTATTTGACTTTCAAGATGGAGCCGAACTACTCACCTATGCCAGTGATTTGAAATCCAATTTAGAACGCGAAGAAAAAAATACTCGTTTACACTTTGAAAAGAAGCACAACGAGCCGTTAAGTACCCTTCAATTTAACCGATTCAAACGAGCCCTGTACCATCTAATAGATGTACAAAATCTTGCCCAAAAAAATGACTTGTCTAATCCACCAATCTCACTAATTTGTTCTATGATGTGAAATCGAATACTTTACTCTCACTCAGCATCAAATCTCTTACCATTTGATATCTGCAGTTATATGACAAGCATTTTATAGGTTTAACAAACTTTTGTTAGTCAAAGTTTCTATCAAAACAGTTCATTACATTCCTAACACATAACTATCATAGTCGAATTTTGACGATTTTTCCATTAATAATACAATGTTTATGTACAATTCCCACTGTTCTCAACTGAAGTGATGGTCAGCGGAAGATGAGTAGATAAGCTTTCACAGCAGGTTTTTGTTGTTAACTTGAGCTGATCTCACAATGTAAAATACTACATGAAACGACAACGATAATATAACTTATGCTTTGAATTATCGATTTCTCTTATCTCTCACATTTAGTGAAAATAGTGCTGATAAGAAAAAATATCAAAATGTTATTGACCGTCGAAGTATTATTGAAAAAACATTCAGTTTTTGAATCTTTGTTTCAGGTGAAAAACTTTATTATAGAAATTAAGAATAAACTCACCTTTTCCATGTGAAATGAACAATTTCAAAATGACGTTTCGTCTTTATTCTAAAGACATCATCAGTCAAACTGACACGCAGAAAGTGAATTCAAACATAGAAAAATAAAAATGACACGTGAGTAGAACAACAAAATATTTTTGCAAATAATAATAAATATTGGGCAGAAGGCGACGGAGAAGAGAAAAGAAACACATTAGCAAGCACTTTGTGGACAAAGTTTCTCAAGATATTGATTGAGCTCTAAGACTAGGAGAAAGGCAAAACTCATGCACTATCTTTTTCAAAATTTGTTAGGCGGAAAGTGAAAGCTTTTTCTCCACGATCAATGACGTTTGAGAGTTCTCGTTCATCATGATCTTACACTAACCCTCCCCACTCTCGAGTTTCGTGCTCTTTCTCCTAGTTTACGTGTAAGTCGGCGATCCTAATGGGATGTGATGAGATGAGATGGGACGTTTAGTAAAACTATGGCGTGGAATGGGATAAACGTTTTAGCCTACGGGATCTCACAGGATTTTTTTCCAATAAAGATAATTTTTTTCTGCAGAAAAAGAGAATACAAGTTTAGATTACTGAGAATATTAAGAAATTTCGTTTGACAAAAACAACCATGTCAGTAGATGTAGCTTCTCCTTCTTCGTCTGTTGACAGAATAACACACACGAAAAACAGTAACGCAGTTTCTGCAAACTTTCCGATAAAAATAGGTTTCTTATCACGAAATCCCACTAGATGAGAAACATCCGTTTTTATTAGACATCATGACAAGTTCAGATATTACCGCTGTTGTTCTTGAAAGCGTTGATTTGTACCAATGAGTAACACGGTGGACGGTTACACAAATGCTGAAAAAACAACAGCGCTACCTAACTTACCTAGTATAAAACAATAACAATATAATTTTTCGTCTTTTTAAAGTGATCCGGAGTTTTTAGGCCGAATTCTACATGGTTCAATGAAACTATTAATAAAATATTTTTGATGCTTATAAAATTTTAGTGAATCTGAAACCCAAAAGTATGTTAAAACATGATATAAGGTTGGAGAAATATAAACATGATTAAAGAGGTAGGGGGAAGACATTCCTCCGTCAACGAATCTTTTTCACTAGACAACGACTAAATCTCATTCTCGAAGATCCAAATATTTTAAACAGTCTCCAATCTCAGAATGAGAGACTATTTGGTTCAAAATTATCATAGTGTCTTAGGGGAAACTTCGTACCACTTTTTGAAACTGACACAGCACGAGACCATGGTCAACTGTGCCAGGTCGAATATAACCACCAGCTAATGTAGAGTTAACGCGCCATTAAAGGAAATTCTTGAATAGAATCTTATACGTTTCCAAAAGCTTTCACGTCACATGAATGAACATTAGTTGAACAAATAGCAGTAAGGAAGTGTAACAAAGAATAGTATAAAAACACCGTCAAGAATTCAATCTTATTGTCCTCCTACTGATTTCGAGGACAAGCTTGCGCAGCTCGAATGTTAACGTGAAAGTCGCATCTTATCTCTTCTACAATAGTCATATTCATTGGTTGTTCAACGGTTCTATCGCAAATAAATTTTATTCTCATATAACGAGTGACACCAAAACATGGATCACCATTTGTCGTTGTCATAACAATGCCTGTTCCTGGTCCATCCGGGCTTTCCGTATATGTTGCATTCGCATTCGGAGGCCATCGTGATTTACTATCTAAAAACGACATTGTAGACCACATTTGAAATGAGCGATCATATTGACAGCTCATTTCATTCTCAACTATATGACCATGGCATGCTATCGATGGTACGAGAGAGCACGGTGTAAAAGCATAATCATATTGATCATCGATTCCCAATAATGTAAATTGACTTAAACGATTTAAGTCATATGTGTTAGAGCCAAATGTTTGGACACATGAATACATATCACATTCAACATTGTTCAAAATAACTGACACTATTATTAACACCAAAAACGAGGAGCGCATATTTTTTCGGTTTGTAACGAAGAAAAGAAACATTAAAATAATAAAACTGAAGCAGAAGGTAGAGATAAGATTTTTATCTGCACGTCATGCAAACAAACGTGTTGATCTTTTTTCTGGCTCTTTTCTGGGTCATATGTGCTGGAGAAGCACATTGAAGAACCATCTTAGATCTTGTATCCTATGCTAAAATTTTATTTTAGTCGCATTTGAACTGTAGAATGCTCATCTTTCTGTCAGTCCTTAGAGCTACTTTCATGTACAATTAGACTGTTGACGTACAACAACAGTATTATATATATGTGGTGGTGGAAATTGAACGTTAGTGAAATTTGAAGTAGTGAAACTTAATCTAAGATGAAGTTTCAGTAGTGGAAAATAAAATCTCAATCTTCACTATAGTGCAAATTGAACCTTTTTTCCTCTGTTTGACGGATAGACAAAACGATAAAGATCAAGAATGAACAGAAAAAGCTAACCCTCTAGTAAATATGTAAATAATAAAGTATATTAGTCAATATAATTCTCTTTACATACGTCGTAGCACATTAACGATAGGGATCTTTGATAATAAGCTTCATGCTCTGATAGAAAGTCTCAATGACACATTTCATTCAAAGTTTCTTATTAAACAAGATATGTTTGATGATATGCTATTAGTATTAAAAGATGGTGTTTCACTGAGATATTCTATATGAGCTTGAAGCTTATTGTAAAAGAGCTCCATCATTAATGTGGTACGACTTGAGTAAAGAAGTATATATTGACCAATATACTTTGTTATTTAGATATTCACTAGGGTGTCAGCTTTTTCTGTTCATTCTTTACTTTTATCGTTTTTACCATCCGTTAGACAGAGGAAAGAAATTTAATTTCCAGACTGAAACTTTATTTTTCATCAGTAGAAATTCGAATAGATTGATCTCCACTAACTGGATTCGATTACCAGCTGAATTTCAATTTACACTCTGACATTTTTGTAGATTTGACTGCAGCATTGACCAAGCATTGAATGTACACGTGAGTCAGAAAAAATTAACTCGATTTCTTTTCTAAAGGTATTAGTTAAACGCACGCCTATACATTATTCTACTAACATTTTTCGAAAATTCTCTTATACAGGTCTACTTCTGATTTACATTTGATAGATTCGCGTTCCATACAAATAATCCGTTATTACAGGGACGGTGAGTACATGGAGCTCTCCGTATGTGTTAGTATATTAGTTTGGATGAAACTTTCTAAATGGTAGATTTTTTTTGACCGAAAATCACCAGTTCTGACGGAGGACGGGGATTAATGGAATAGAAACTAATTTGAAAGATCGTTAGTATTTTCATAAATCTGCAATCTATTTATAAATTAATTTAATATAATTTTTAGTACTAAATTAATGTATATTTCTTTAAACCAATCTAAATAGATTTATTGACCGAAATTAATTTAAATCAATTTTCAACCAAAAATTCTTCTTTGAAGTACTTTAAACAAAATGAATTTCTATTAATTTCTGTTTCTTAATCAATTTAAATCAATTTGTAATAACTAATTTATTTAAATTGATTTAGAAAACATTTTCTAAAATTAATTACAAATCCAAAATTAATCTGAACGAATTTCTACATCCAAAATTAACTCAAATGAATTTCAAATTTTTCGAAACCAAAATAGGTACTTATTTCCGTTTAGAAACATTTTCAAGAGCTGTCACTGGATTCCTCGCAACAAGTTGCTTTCAAAAACTTAGCCTCTAACTATATCAGATATACTATGGGGACTTTGGGTTTTTTCTTTTTTGAAAAAAATATTGAAATCTTCATGAAGTAGTTTGAATTAAGTTAATCTCAAATACGTTTAACCCTTTGGCTCCCGGTGACACATAAATGCGTCTAGTCGCAATTATTGCATGATAATAATAGCTAGAATAAATTTGAAAATAGATTTGAATAGCTGAAAGAATTTCCGATCTCAGATGATGTATACAAAGGCTATATCAAAACTCCTGAAATCAGGGTCTCTGGAAAACTCAAATCTCAGAAAACCAAGTCCCAGAGTTCAATCCAGAAATTCTTTGTAAATAGGTCTGTCGTGTAGAACAAACATTTCTGAAGAAAATGAGACGTCTCTGAGCTGTTTATGACATTTTCTCATGGAGCAAAAATCAATTTACAAAAGGCCCTAAGGGCGTATCTTCTTGTTTTTCCGTTAGTTTTGCTGCTATGGGGCTTTCCGTAAATTGAATGCTGCTC